CTAAACCTGCCATCTGGATTACCTGGAGTCTGTTTCCCACAGGGTCAGTGGAGCAGATTAAAAAATGTCTCAAGCTGTTTGCTACCGTATTTGTGTTGCCACTGGGCTCCAGTCAGACATGTGGAACGGCTGCAAAAACAAGGATCTTTCATTACAATGCCACTCAGGAACAGGAACTGGAAATGAGTTAATGATGCCATGCTGCTTTTGGCTTTTTTATTTGAGTCTCCACTCAAGGGATCAAATACAAAAGAGAAGTACATTTACTCTCAGAATGTACAATATGTAGCCAAACAGCCAATGGTGGTTATGTGTTTACTAATACTGGCTGTGCTGTTATTACCCACTCAGGCTTTATTTGTCCTGTTTCAGAGAGCTAATAAAGGTATTGAGGGAAGAGGAGCCGATAGCCCACAGGAATGAGCTGTTATTAGCCATCAGTGCATCTGAGCCTGCTCTAGGCAGACCTACTGTCACTGGAGCCGAAGAGCTGAGACACACACACACACACACGCACACACACACACACACACACACACACACACACACACACACACACACACACACACACACACACTGCAACTACTTTCTGAAGATTTTCATTGTGCAATTTCTTTCAATGTGTCCAAAATTCAGAAAACACCAGAGCAAGGCAAATGCAACTCTCAGGAACATTTTAACAAACCTGTTGGAAATTACGGAAACTCCAGATGAAATGAAACAAAAGCTTAAAATTTAAAACCATAAAGAAAATCCTTCATGACATTTTGCAGCAAAATGACTAGGTGTTGCAACACAAGTTTGCAAAGCTACTCAACTGTAAAGATGCAGTATGAGATGTTTTCTTGTCATTCAAGCAAGCAAAGTTTTAAAAATATACAGTCCAAAGGTCCATTATCTTGTTCCTCTCCAGTGAGTTAATAAAATGCATGTTTGCTGTGTTAAAAAGAAAACACTTTTAATTACAAACCAATATTTAGAAGTTATGTGGATGCTCGGAGAAAGCAAAGGGGCTTTTCACTACTCGTTCTTTTTGCTCTTGTTCAGCTGTTTTCAATCACACTGATTAGTGGCTCCATCGCGCCATCTCAGTGTGAGCTTTCAGACAACATGATGAGGTATAAACAGAACACCAGCTGTCTTTAGTGTGACAAGCTCTGAATTACTGACTCACACAAATGCCAGTACATCCACTTGACTATGTAATTATTTCTGCTACAGCCTCAAACAAAACTCCAACAATAGACTGAGAACCTCTGCTCCTGTGGTCCAATGCTCTTTATTTACTCGTGTCAAAAACCTTTTATCAGAGTTGTCAGATGCAGGTAAGGGGCTAAGAGAAGGTCGCGTCAGAGACTAGCAGCAGACACAGGACTTTAACCGGTCAATTAGATTCAAATTCAAATTCAAAAATACTTTATTAATCCCAGAGGGAAATTGATTGCTGTAGTAGCTCAGAATAATAATAATAATCAAGTCATCAAAGAGTTATTGTATATTACAATGGCTGTTGGCAGGAAGGATCTCCAGTAGCGGTCAGTGTTGCAGCGAAACTGAAGAAGCCTCTGACTGAAGACACTCTTCTGCTGTCGGACAGTCTTGTGAAGAGAATGCTCAGGGTTGTCCATCATTTTCTTGATTCTCTGGAGAATTCTTCTTTGCATGATCTCCTCCAGTGGTTCCACAGTCGTCCCCAGAACAGAACCAGCCTTTTTTATTAGACTGTTGAGCCTTTTCAGGTCCCTGCTTCTGATGCTGCTACCCCAACAGACGATGGCTGAAGAGATTACACTCTCAACAACAGACTTGTAGAAGATCTGCAGCATCTTGCTACAGACATTGAAGGACCTAAGCATCCTCAAGAAGTGCAGTCTGCTGTGTCCCTTCTTGTAAACGGCTTCGCTGTTCTTTCTTCAGTCCAGTCTGTTGTCCAGGTGAACTCCAGGGTATTTGTATTCCTCAACCACCTCCACTTCATCTCCCATGATGGAAATAGTGTTTGACTCCACCCTGTTTCTTCTGAAGTCTAAAATCATCTCCTTTGTTTTGTTCACATTCAAGGTCAGATGATTGTTTCCACACCATGCCACAAAGCGCTCCACCAGCTCTCTGTACTCAGCTTCCTGTCCATCTCTGATACACCCGACAACTGCAGAGTCATCTGAGTATTTCTGTAGATGACAGGTCTCTGATTTGTACTGGAAGTCTGAGGTGTACAGGTTGAAAAGGAATGGTGAGAGTACAGTCCCCTGTGGTGCTCCAATGTTACTGATCGCCTGGTTTGATGTGCAGTTCTTCAGCCTCACAAACTGTGGTCTGTTTGTCAGGTAGTCTTTAATCTAGGCGATAGTTGAGACCCCCACCTGTGTCTTCTGGAGTTTCTGGCAAAGTACATCAGGCTGGATTGTGTTAAATACACTGGAGAAATCAAAGAACATGACCCTCACAGTGCTGCCTGCTTTGTCCAAGTGACAGTGGGTTGGTTGAAGCAGCTGGATGATGGCATCTTCAACTCCAACTCCATGGCGATAAGCAAACTGCAGCGGGTCCTGATATGTCCTAGTTTGCTTATTCAGGTGGACCAACAGGAGTCTCTCCAGGACCTTCATGATGTGGGATGTCAAGGCAACCGGTCTGTAGTCATCATTGACTGATGGGCGAGTTTTCTTTGGAACTGGAACAAGGCAAGATGTCTTCCACAGGACTGGAACCTTCTCCTGGGCCAGGCTGAGGTTGAAGGGGTGCTGCAGAATCCCACAGAGCTGCTCAGCACAGGCCTTCAGTACTCTGGGGCTGACACCATCTGGACCTGCAGCCTTGATCCTGTTCAGTTTCTCCAGCTGCCTCTTCACCTGACTTCTAGAGACAGATAGATGGGAGGGGGAGGTAAATGGGGCAGCAGCATCTCCTGACTTGGTTGAAGACAGATTTATAGAACCAGAAGAGTCAATGACTGCGTTAGAGGACAAAAGAGCTGGCGTGTGACCGGAAAATGTTGGATCAGAGGAGGATGGGATGTCTGATTGGCTGGGCACAGGCGAGGAGAATGCTGGACAAAGTATACAGACACATACATGGAGAATTCCTCAGTGTCTATCCCTGTGGAAATCCATCTGAATCCACCAAAGAATGGTAATAACCGAGGGACGAGCCGTCACAGGGTGAGGGATGATAAAGGAGACGAGGGAGACAGCGACTGCTGAAGCTGGAACCGAAAGCTTTTCAAGCAAACCCCAGCCCCCCATCACTCTCTCCACCTACAGTGCACATCAACAACGGGTCTATTTCTGCTTTAAACTGACTCTGCAACATATCATATATCGGGAGGATTAAACAACAAATGCATTCATAATCATCATGTATTCTTGAATTTTATTCTCTCTCTCAGTATTTTCTAACTTATATCCATAAATAAGGCCCCCCGAATCTTTTCCATTTAACCATTGATAGTTTCCATCTTCTCCCACCCTCCTTCTGTCCATTTTCATCATCTTTCATCTTTCTCCTTTACGTCACTCTTGTTCTACCCCTTTTTTAACCCACTATTTTCTTTTCACACCTCTCCCCGAGCGCCCACACACACACATGCAACCCATCTTTGGCAATTAAGCAAATGGTTTTTATTCTTCCCCCACAATATAGTTTCTGTGAACGCATCTGTGTTCAACTCAGTCATTACAGAAAGCTCTCTCTCCATGTGTGTGTGTGTGTGTGTGTGTGTGTGTGTGTGTGTGTGTGTGTGTGTGTGTGTGTGTGTGTGTGTGTGTGTGTGTGTATGTATGTGTGTGTGTGTGTGTGTGTGTGTGTGTGTGTGTGTGTGTGTATGTATGTGTGTGTGTGTGTGTGTGTGTGTGTGTGTGTGTGTGTGTGTGTGTGTGTGTGTGTGCATAATTCTCCAAAGCCTAGGCTAATTAGGTAGCGCCCATTGGAATGGCAGGCTACAACGGTAGATCAGGGAAAGGCCATAGAGATAAGGCTGAACATACCAGCACACACACACACACACACACACACACACACACACACACACACACACACACACACACACACACACACACACACTAATTAATTCACATGCAGCAGATGACGTGTGTAGGAAGAACAATATATACTTTGTATTGCCAGTTCCCTATCTTACTCTCTACTTGACATCATCCTTCTTTTTATCATTAAAAAAGCCTATTTCACACTTTTTGGCCATAAAATGTTAGGATTGTAGAAAATTTTGTCATGACTCCCAGTCTTACACCCTACTCAACCTCTGCTGCCTCCTCATCAAGCCCTCAGCCACTTCATCTCACCTGTCCCTGTCATCAGCTCATTACACACACACCTGCTCCCCCTGCTATATATTCACCAGCCAGCCACCAGTCCCCTGCCAGATTATTGAACACTTTTTTGTTAGTAGATCATCCAACCTTACACCTTGCCTGATCACAGCCTACGGACCTCATGTTTTTGCCTGATCCCTGCCTAGAACTCTGCCTGCCATCTCTACCCTCGCCTGTTTTTGACCCCTTCTCTAGCCTGCTCCATTTTTCTGCTTCGTCTGGTTCTGGTTTTTGACCCACGCCTCCTGTCCAACACTGTCTCCAGCTTCACCCTCCTCTGGTAACGCCATATCCAATAGACTTTTTATGAACTTTTGCTGTGTTTGGTGTCATCACAGGTTTCAAGTTCTGGTCGTGACAATTTTCCTATTTATTCAGGTATACAAATTTGGTGGAGTTTGAATTCCATTTAGCTGCTCAGCAGATTGCCAGTAAATATAAAAGAAAGCCATGATGATAAATTACTAATACAACCAAACAAGGCTTTACAATCGTACACACACACACGCACCATATTACCCACAAACAGAAATAATTACAACAACCAAAATATGTGAGTTAACGCTGACACACAGCTAACACAATCATTCTGCCTTCAGTAATTGAAGCCAAAATAGTTATCAGCAGGGGTGTAAATTTATTGACTCCTGAGTCACATGTGGCATTAGGTTTTTGTGTGTGTGTGTGTGTGTGTGTGTGTATGTGTGTTTAGTCCATCTGTGATAAACTGTGTCTGTATACTGGTAATAAACAACACAGCACAGAGTGTTTCTTGGTTCCATGGACAAACTATTTCAGAAAAGAAAGAGAGGCAGGTAGTGGTTTGTTTTATGGAGCAGTTTGTTTCATTGAGGAATATGATGGAGTGTGTGTGAGAATCAAGTTCTGGAGCTGTTTGGGCCAATGCAGCGTGACAATAAGCTCACAAATGACAGCAGATAACAATTGGAAATGCATGGATACCAGGAAAAAAGCATCCTATGGGCAACTGCATTTTAATGCAAAGGCCTGTTGGCATCTGCAACCCGAGAAGAGATTAAAAACTGAAAAATAATGAGCAAATTACATGAATACATATCAGTGGGAAATTAAAAATCATACAATCACGTTTAACATTCAGTCCTGTTTGGAATAAAATTATTAACTGGATCAACAAATAATGGCAAACCCCAAAAGCTGTAATCATGCACAATTATAGATGCGAGATATAAAATTACAAATGCTACTAAAAATACGCAATATTTAACATTTAACGCGCAAACACGCAAACACAGACACACCAGAAGCAAGGGGCTGATAAACAGAAGCAACGCCATGTGCATCAGACAGATCTCATCTATCAGATGCTATCACAACACTTCTGAGAGGACGGACACAAATACATTGATGTGACAAACAATTCGACCCCTCACAGATTCTCTCAGTTGTTTTGCATTTTTGGTGGTGGTTTCCCTGACTTTCTCCTTTGGTATTTGCTGCTAGAAAGCAGAATTCATGGTTCCATCGATTACAGCAGGTGGTCCAGGTCCTAAAGCAGAAAAACAGCACCAGTCCATACTACCACCACCATGTTTGACTCTTGGTATGATGTTTTTTCTTTAATATAATGTTGGTTTTACACCAGGTGCACGCCTCGTAAAATGTAACAGTTTGAATGGAACATGACATGTTGCTTTTTCAAATTTTCTTTAATTCTACAGGTCAGACAGTAATCAGGCCCAAGTGTGGCAAGACCTAAGTTTTCCAAATAATGATGTGAAATCATGATTTAAAGCTGTTATTGCAAATATGCAAACGGGTTTTGAATGCACACACAGTCATGGAACATTCATCCCTCCACTTGGGTATCTTCCCTGAGATGCTTCTACCAGAACCAGAAACCCAAATTGCCAGAGGAAACCAGATAGTGGTAAACACCAGTCACCATTTCCTAGGTCCAAACATTGGCTGTGTCTCAATTCAGGGTCTGCATCCTTCGAAGGACCCAGCCTACCCGGCCGACATGGGCTGCGTCCTCCGTCGGCCGGGTAGACCGGATGTTAACGGCTGTGAATTTGGACAGGCCTAGCCTTCATGAACTCCCTCAGCGAACTTCCGTCGCCTAGCAACCGTGGAACCGCTGGGCAGAAGGGAGAAGGAACTTTAAACGATGGAGCTCGACGTTTTATTTAGCTTTTTAACCCCCAGAAATCCCAAATTTAGAAAACAACTGCAAAATCTTTTTTTTAACCTTTCACATGTTGGTCTAGGAGGCCAGATAAACGGGCCTATTTACACATTTTAACAGCCAATAGTGTTGCAGAACTGAACAATAGGACCTATTAGCAAATGTAAATGTGGTTTTAAAAAGAAAAAAAAGGGGAAGGTTTATTTTTGTAGACTTAAATCTGATGTTGTAATATTACAACCGTGGGTCTCTGGGGGTTAAGCATTTCCTTGACCGTTGGAGAGTTAATTCAAAGAAAATACTTTAGACAAGCTGAGCCTGAGCAAAGATGTGATAATAGTTTTTAATACTTTCTAAGGGTCTTAATTTGACCAAAACAGATTTATCACCTTTTAAGACTTTTCAAGACCCAGCGGATACCCTCTAGTAAACAATTCTCATTTGTAAACAAAAATAAAATTCAAGAGTTTAATGCAGAACTGATTTTATTTAGATATTTCTTTTATATGTACATGTTTAATCTTTATTAACCATTTCTTTCTAGCAAAGTAAAAAGCTGTCAAAGTTCTCCCTTCTCTCCTGTGCCCTCTGCTGCTCTGCCTCCCTCTGCAGCCTCATGCCCTCCCTGATCAGCTCCAGGAGCTGGTCATCGCTGGCACCTTCCCCTGGATGCCCATTTTCTCCAGAATAGTCTTAACAAACATGTAAGAAATAAAACAGATAGAGAAAAGAGGACAACGGGTTATTCCTTTCATGTTTTCGCAGAAAAAACTAAACTCAAACGAGTTTTTTAAAATATGAGATGTTATTGTACCTCCAAGCCACAGCCGCCGAATACTTTGCTCCAGTGATCATGTGGTCCATCCCCGCCCTAAGCTTAATAAATTCCCTGGTTTTCTCTTTTGTTCCTAAAATACAAACTTCTATTAAAATCAGGGGGAAACGTAGCGGGAGAAGTACGACACCGAGCGCGGCCGAACATACGAGCCGAGACCGCAATACAAGCACTTTTACTGTTACATTTCTAACTAAAATACCGTTCATGTATCACAAAAAGTCCTTAACCTAACAGTTTTCAAGTTTATACTGACATTTATATGCGCAATCCTCTCCGACAGCTCCCGCTTCACTGTCCGCCATTGTTTTTAAGTTTTTCTGCCGGCAAGGCATCTTGGGAAATGCTACCTATTGAAGGATACACCGGACCCATCCTTCATTCAGGCGAAAAGAAGGCCGCATTCGTCGACCGCATTTGAAGGAGTCTTCGAATTGGGACAGGCCTAGTCGCGGCGCTGTGACGTAACCGGCCGACGAATCCGGCCAACGTAGGATGCAGACCCTGAATTGAGACACAGCCATTTTTTGTCATCCGTGAATTCAAATGGCGTTTTTCTTTTTTGGACTCCGGTAGTTGGTCCTAAAGTTGAAGTGGTAGCAGCCAGCTGTTTCTCCCTCTGATATTATTGAGCCACAAACCTCTCCCACCAGTGGTGTTCTGTTGCAAATTATGCAACTGCATAATGAATGGAGGACCAAGGAAAGCAGTGAAGTGCGGCGGTTCAGAGAGACCAACAACTGGATGGTCCAATGACTACTTTTGGCCTGAGGCGCATTAGACATTTGTGAGAGAATATTTGCGAGAGAACAATTTCATTCATTTTTTTTATCTCCACAATATATTTATATACTACATTAGAACGTTGTTAAGAGGCATGAAAAAATGTATTTTTTTGCTCCAAATTTGCTATTGTAGCTTTAAAGGTAGTATAGATGTTTTTCGGGAGCATTTTTGTCACATTCCTTGAAATTCTCCTCACACATCGATGGCAACCAATAAGTTAAATGTTTTGTCAAAAAATATTCACTTTAGATTGCCTCTAAAAAGTACAATCCTCATCCAATAATTGTGAACATCCAATTCTTAACAACCGGATCCTGATCCATCCATCAACCAGCCCTTAGACCATCCCTGCTTCCTCTGCGCACAAGTTGCATGTTGTCAGCTTGGAACAGTTAAATAAGAGGCAAAGCCAGAGTCGAGCTAGCTACATTAGCTAGCATCCTATAATATTAAGCAATTATGTATCCTGAGTGGAAGTGGCAGAGGAGGTTTCCACAGTAAAAAGGGCAGTCCTCCCAATTGCATCTGCAATCTAGGTCCCAGTTAGCCTGGTAAGCCATTATACATGTGTGATTATGGTAAATAATCTGTGTCTGATAAAGCATCTTCTTGAGTCCTTGAACCCCTCAAGGTTCTTTACAACACAATTAGTCATTCACCCATTCACACACACCCTGGTGTTGATGAGCTACAATAGCCACAGCTTCCCTTGGGTTGACTGACAGAAGCGAGACTGCCGTACACTTGCGCCACCAGTCCCTCCGGCCACCACCAGCAGGAAGTGAGGGTTAAGTGTCTTGCACAGAGACAAAGATGGCAACAAACTGAGCGGGGATTGAACCTGCAACCTTCCAATTACGGAGTGGACACTTAACTCCTCTGCCATTGTTGCTGTCTGGCCACATCTCATAGACAGAGCTCAGTTGTAAAATAAATGAAGTGGAATTGGATTCTCTCGTGCCACAAAGGGTCCAAAACCGCACTAAAGGAGAAAGATTTCCTTTGAGATCAGAGCGCTCACAGAGAATGCGTTCCCTCTAGAGAGATCCGTTAAATCCTCAAATAACACGTATCAGCCATGATATAATGTCAGACTCCCGTCGGGCACGGGTGTCTTTTATAGATTTTAGCTCTAGACACTGTTCATACGCATGAGTTCAGATTTTCTTACATTTAGGAACATTCCTAAGCACAGGTACAAATTGGTAAATACCACACTGTCACGAAATATGCATAGATCTGTGCATAGGTACGGTTGATGAATGAGGCCCCAGGAGAGCTATGATTGGCAAGACACAAGAGTGTTCGGGCCTGCTGAGGGTCCAATGGAGTGTGGCTAGACTGACCTGCAGAGTAAAATCCTTTTACTGTCTGTCTAGATTTCTAGGCTATGTCCCAGTGGCTTCTATCTCTGAAACTTCCAAAGGGGACAGAGTCCGGAGAACTCCTAACCAGCCTGGAGGACCCCAGCTGTTACTTATGTGCACTAGGAATTATGGCAGAAAAGATGCCAACAATGGATTGAAAAGGTAAGAACGTTATGAACAGTTTTTTTTCAATGAACATCAACCCTACATTTAATTACTGTTTCACATGGAGTTGAATTGATTTTGATAATTGTCTCTCTTATTATATTAACTGCCATTGACAACAAAAGTCATCATTTTAAATTCAACCGTTCACTGCCAATGATGACTAAATTCGTCATTTGCATTTTTTTACTGTGTAGGCGTCGGAACGAGCCCCCGCACCGTGTGAACGAACATCCCAGCTCTAAAGCCAATCTTCATCCGCGTACGTCACACGTCACGTGATCAGGAAGCAGAAAATCCATGTGTTAGGAGATCGTTTTGGGCTGTTGCTGTATAAAAAGTGAGGTGCAAACCGGAAAAGCTTCTGCCGATCACAATTCGACAACAGATTATGGAAGAATGGATAACGCTCAAAACGCGCGGATTCTTCCTGATGTAAGAGGTGAGTCTACTCTTTGTTTTGGTAGTTTTGGCATTGACATCATCCTAGCGCGCAACGTTCTGTGACGCTTAAAAAACAGTAAAAACGATGAAAAACGCTGGCAGCAAAGGCCTTTACTGATCAGGAAACGGCTGGCAGTGAATGAGTTAAGAATGTATTATTATAATAATAATCATCATAACAATAAACAAGAAAACTGCATTTTTTATTTATTCAGCTTATCTTTGACTAAAGAAAAAACAGAAACAAATATCTAAAAGTCTAATCTAAAAATAACTTTTCACAGGTCTAGACTTACATTAGCATACTTGTAGCCACATAAAGATGCTCATTCGCTAATAAAATGACACTAAAGACAAATCCTTATAACAGTATTAATAAAAATAAAACACAGACTAATCGGTTGACTGTCGTGCAACTAAATATTGTATCATCTAAAGCATTTTTCAGCATACTGCATTTAACTCAGCGTATACAAAATTTCATTCTTCATTGCAGCATTTCAAAGTAGTATTTGCTAATTTTGTGTGTCTGACTGCATCCATGTACTGTATCAGTTTATGTAACACTATTAGTACTGGAGAGGGGCTATTAGTGTAAAAGAGGGTGTTATGGCACAAAAAAGTCCCCCACAACAGCTGCAAACAACATACAATGTACAGTAATGACCTATTTTGTTAAGCTCTCTGAATAAATACATAATTTAAAAAAATTCATCATTTGTAATGTAGAGCAAAAGAGAGAGATGGAGAGTACATAAGAGAAAGAGATAGGGCTGTGTGCAGAGATGAGTAATAAGCAAAGGGACATAAATAAATTAGCAAAGACAAACAGAAGTCTATTGACAGAGATGACAGAATAACAGAATTAATATTTGAAACTTTTCACAGAAAATAAAGCATGATGGTAATGAGGTCACAGCGCCTCCTATAGGTACTCCAAAAATACTTACATAATGTATGTATGATATAGTTTTTATGTATCCAAGTAAATTTAAATACAATTAATTGGTCAGAATAAAAAACATAAAACTTTTTAACTATTAACCCTAAAGATTAAAATAAACATATTTTAAAACAAATCTTCATATAAATGTGTCTAAACTCTGACCGTGCAAACTAACTAAAGCCAAATACTCATCACAAAGGATATTATAAATGAAGTTATTGGGGTATAAAGATCCAAACCTTTTCTTGCACCGGGCTGTAAATGTGGTTTGTTTTTGTTATTGGGTTCCACATTTGGACAAAAGGGTCCAAGAGGTTGTTCGAGGAACTGCAGTTTTATCAGTGTAACGCTTACCCCGGCTTTCCACAGGAGCCGTCAGCAGCACGTTACTGCAGCAGCACGTCATAGCTGCTGATAGGAACCGCTGTGGTCAACAGAACCTTTTCCATTGGAGCCGTCAGCAGCGCGAGTCGGCCACGTCTCAGAAGCAGCATGTCGTGGCCTTTACGCGCCGGTTCTATTTTCTACGCACGACGCCTCTGAAACGGGTCAAGTTCGACATTTTTGGGGAAGGAAAGACAGGAAATCGGACGCGGAAAAGGAGAGAAGCTACCGAGATTTTCAGAATAAAGAACGTACTGCTTTCCGGCTGCTTTACTTTTAAAAAAGGTTACTAACTGTGCGTCCCCGTGAGAAGTTATCACCTAGCTAGCGGTCTCCGTTGTTTTTCAGGTCCGTATTGGCGATTATAAAACAGACAGAACATGAAACACAAACCATGTTGTAATTTTCTCCTGCTTGTTGTTGTGTTTACTGACGAAGTCACTCGTGTGACTTCGTGCTCGGTCGGTGACAGCTGCTCCCCTGCTGCTTCGCGTCTCGTGGGAAGGGCCAAGCAGCAGTTTACGCGAGCAAGACGTGCTGCTGCAGTAACGTGCTGCTGACGGCTCCCGTGGAAACCCGGGGTTAGGCCCCTGATGTTGTTTTTTAAGGTTTGAACATTTTGTCAAGAGGTTTATGGGATAGTTTTTAAAGTGTAATGTTTTACAGTGAAGGCGGAAGCTGCAATTTGAGGCAGACGTGAAAGCCAAAATTCAGAGAAATTTTGTGTATTTCTGCTAGAGGAGCATCAAAAATTGCCTGGTGGCTGAAATCTGCCAAGATTCAAATAGATAATATTGAGTAAAACTTTGAAATACAGTTTTTTGTTTTTTGGCTAGTGAAAGCACCATTGCCAAAGCTGAAATTTGTATCTGCAGGACTGAGCTGTACAAGACTTGCAAAATGATATTGGCCTTCAGAACCAGAATCTGCATCTCTAATTCCTGTGTTTATACTTTTTTTTGTGGAAGGAGACATTTTGCTTTTGTATTGGTGTAGTCATGAGTTTTTTTTTTATTTGCAACAGTGTTTAAGTGTCTACATATGTATATAAACACAAAATTCTGTTAACATGCATCTAACCAACCTTTGCAATTAGGCTGAGGGCATCTCGACAGGAAGGCGGGAGGGCTGATGTCACTTCCTCTGTCAGATTAGAAACTTCATGATGAATATACAGCTCCAACATGGATGCCAGCTGACATAAACCCTCCTTCTTCTGCTCAGACATCAAATCCAGGTCTGTGAAAATAATGCATGGCTGGACAAACAGATTCTTCACTAAAATGTAAAGGAAGAGCAAACTCCTGTAGCGCCGACGTACGTGATTCATGCTCATCCAAAGAGTAGAGCTCACTGCTGCAGCTCCTAGGACTTAACTGGAAAGGAAAGAACAGATTGATGCTTTACACATAATTTTCTATTGCTTTGTAAGTTGAAGGCTGGAGCTTTTCAAGCTTCAAGCAACAAAAATGCCAGTTTGTGTGGTAAGATTTTTCAATCTCTTTGATAATGAGATGATTTTCACAGGGTCAAGACATTTCTAGCAAAAGAGAAGTTTTAGCTTTAGAAATGTATGATTAGTCATTTCCCTCAAAGCCTTTATTGAGCAGTATTTGATTGAGATAGAAGAGACAAATTCTGGAAGCATACCAGGGCAAAGATGAGTCTTGCAGCCAGACGGACCGAGTCTGTGGGAAGTCTTGGCAGGAGGATGCACAGACATTTACACTCTCTCTTATGGCCAGACCACGCTTGTTTCTGCATGAGACCAACTTTTAAACACACACATGGATGCAGATGCACATACACACAGCGAGCGAGTCATGCCTCCATCGCCCAAGTGGGCATTAGATAAGAGTCACATTTCATTTTCCACAAACCCTTGCTTTTTTCTTTGTTTATGTTAGGAAAAATCAGAGACAAACCTGGCAAGTTGCATCGCAGTAGCGAGCCATTTTGCACTGAGAACACCGCAGCAAGGTTTCACGTCTAGACAGACAGATAAAAAACATATATGTCTTATAAACAGAGCATTTTAAAGAAATGTGTCATTAAAGCATTTAAAATAACCAATAGGAATCAATCTAGTAACCACAGAACAGTAAACATTTTTAGGTTATTAAGATAGTTGCCACAGATAATTGATATTAGCAAATGCAAAAATGAACAGAAATCAAGTTTTTTTAAAGCTACTGAGCTATTGGTGTCTAAAATGCTAAAAGTAATCCACAACACATATTACAAACACCACAAGATTGCACAAGAGTTTCATTTTAAACTTTGAAATAAAGTCGACCATTTGCCGTTGAAATGAATCCTTTCCATCATCGAAATGAACCACTGAATTAATATATTTACAATATATTTTAGAGTCAACCCAACAAAAGATGGCTGCTGCAGCTAACTGATTTATCAACTGAGGCTGAGCTAAAATTGTTTGTGGCGGTAGCTGAGAGTCACTCTCAATGCACACTTTAAACCTAAGACTGCACAAAATCTTGAAATATTGAATAAGATTCAAGATTGTTTTATTGTCATTGCACAGGCGTACTTCGAGCTGTTATTAGCCATCAGTGCATCTGAGCCTGCTCTAGGCAGACTTACTGTCACTGGAGCCGAAGAGCTGAGACACACACACACACACACACACACACACACACACACACACACACACAAAGGATGTGAGTCACAAGAAGTGTGTATGCTTGTTTGTGTACAGGTTATTATAAGCCACGGAAATTGCAGACAGTCTTAGCGCTTGTAGTTTCTAATTTAAAAGGTTTGATCCAGACTAGAGAATGACTGACTGATTGGGAGTCTAGCTTTCATTTTACCTTTTTAGTTCACCTTCATTATCTTCATTGTGTTCTGCTCTACAAATGACAAAGTTTGAACTATTGTCCCTAATGAAGCACAACATCAAATCCTTTCCTACACAATAACCTTTCCCAACAAAAGAGGCCAGTAAATAACATTTTCTGGCATACGAAACAACAATCAGAGACTTGTTTGGCCTCCTACCACCCATACTTCACTTGTTTCAAGATCATTTGCTAAAGCAGCAAACCCATCTGTGGTGTGGTGCAAGCAGATGTATCATCTCATCTCATTCTCACCAGAATTTAAGTCAGTTGAAGAAGGGCCCCATCCTCGATGTTGGTATAGAACAGCTCATTTGCTTCTAGTCCTTCAACTTAACCCTCTCAGGCTCAAAATTAGTTTTGATAAAAGGACGAACAACTAAGTCCTTCAGGGGTACTTCTGAGTTAAAAAATGCTCATGAAATACGTATGTGGAGTAACCAGGTAGGTAGGTTTTAACGTTGCAAATCTGCAACGCCTGCCTCCAGAGGGTTAAATAAAAAATGTATGAAATATGATTGGGTTATGGTTTTCTCCCCATTCTTAACCCTAATGTATAACTAGCACATTTTAAATGATGTGTTCAAGTTCAAGGCAGCATGCCCCTTCCTCCCTGCTGGGTCTTGAAATGGTACATAAAGGTCATTAGTGGTTAAATCTCATTCATCTGCATCAGGGTACATCATTTCATCACCATTGAACATTTGGAAAATGTCTTCATGTGTGTCTGAGTGCTTTCTTTTTTTACTTTAATCTTGAGTTTCAGAAGTTCTTCCCTTTGTTTCGTCATCGGCCATTACATGTCTTTCAACCTGGACTGCTCCAGGTGATACTTTTCTCACACAGAAAAGTAATGGAGGAGATTGTGCTTTTGCCTGTAGAAGTGCAGAAGAGATGAGACAGGTGTGAAGTCACTGAAATATACTGAAGTCTCACGCTGCACGTTCCTCTCATGTTCCAGTTCAGCGTGCATTTTTCTCTACCACAGCATTTCATTTCTAAAATGCAGCACTTTTCTCAGATATTTGACATGGAATTTGTGTTGTGACTAGACTAATGTTCTTTTGTGTACTGATAAACCGAACATGAGTTTAAGTACAAGCTCTTACAATTAGATATTTCCATAGATGTAATTTCTCATTTCCTGGAAAAATTATTTTCTCAACTATTTTCGTCATGTCCATGACTGATGAGATCGGCAGCAGCTCCCTGCAAACAGTTATAGAAAATTAATAAATGAAGAAACTTTCTTTCCACTGAATGATAAAAAAATAAAAAGCTGGGTATTTCTGCGTCTCCTCGAACTTATGCTGTTAAACGTCACAAGTTATCAACACTTCAGTACTAAAATCAGAATTTCTGGAATTTATGCACCATACATCTTAATTCGACAAAAGCAAAGCATCTGAATAGTATTTTGTTTTTGTATGATTTGCAGTGAAATCATGTTGACTAGTAAAAAAGTCCACATCCAGAGAAAATGTGTCTGCAGAATTTCCTTTTATATGAGAAAAAGGTAGAAAGACATGATCAAATAAAGGAAAATAAATCTGACACCAGATATTATTACGAGCTAACACACAACATGAGGTAATGGAGAACATGTTATGATGGAGGTAAATTACCCTAAAGCTTTGTGGATAATCACACATTTGATTAGATTAGGCATACATATAAATGCTAGATGGTCTTATTTGAACCTTGAAGGCAAATGTAGAGATTTAAAATGAACAACACACACACACACACACACACACACACACACACACACACACACACACACACACACACACACACACACACACACACAGTGTTCTGACCAAAGGCTGCTTCCTTTCAACATTAGCAACAGAAGTTTAGTGGGGTCTCTATCGGTTTGGGACCAGACGGGAGTGTTGCATTTGCCTTGGAGTCCCTACAGGCATGTTCAAGTTTCCAAAACACTTCTTCCTCATTCTCTCCTGCTCCTGTTATGCATTTGGGCCTTATTTGCAATGACCTTTTAGTTTTGGAAACCAGCAAAAAATGTATTGTCACCTTTGGATGGGAGTTAATGAAAACAGTCATTCTTGTCATGTTGAGATTTAACAGACAGGAAAGCCACACACAGTTTAAGAAACTGTGGTTTGATATGGAGGAGTAATCACAGATTAGCTTGAGTCAAACCTAAACACAGATGGATCACATGCCAGGTCATTTTTTTGCGCTTTAGAGTTTGATCAGAAGCAGCCAAGCACAGGAAGCCATCCCATCTCTCATGAACCAGACAGGACGTTTTATTTGTGTAGTTTAATTTCTGTCACTAAATCAGGAAGGTTAATCCCTCAGGATGGTAAACTAGATTATATGTTAAAGTGCTGAAGGTTATGTTCCATCAGTATTTGGTAAAGTTGCAACACCATTTGTTCAAAATTAATTTAATTGTTGATAGATTTGTCCATATCAATGAATTGCAAGGCGAGACAGCTTAATTTGTTTAGCACGTCATACACAGAGATAATTCAATGTGCTTTCCATTAGCAAGAATAGCATGAACATTAAAATAACGTGACAGCACAGTTAAAATACACAAATAAATGTGGAAGTTAAAAGGTAGTTACAGTGCAGAAGGTGCAGTTTAAGAACATTTATTCAAAGGCTGATGAATACATTCAATTGTTCAGTTTTGATTTAAAAGTTTCTAGAGTTGGGGCACATTTGAGGTCATAAGGAAGCTGATTCACCCTGTTTGGTTCTGACCCGGGGTTCTACCAGCTGACTGTTTCTTAAGGATGTCAGATCCCTGCTGGACATATATTTTATAATATTTATACTGACACGTATTCTGGCCCCATGCCATTGAGTGATTTATAGACTAGTAGAAGCACTTTGAAATCGATTCTGTTTAATGGAAACCAGTGTAGAGATTTAAGAACAGGAGTGATGTGCTCGGTTCTCTTGTTTTTTGTTAACACTCTAGCAGCAGCATTCTAAAAACAACTGTACCAGGTTGGGCCCCATTTTGCTTCTAGAGCTGCCTGAATTCTAGAAAGATTCTTCAGATGTTCTGGTCCATATTGACATGTTAGCATCGGCTGAACATCCATGATGCAGATCTATGATGGAGAGCTGCACGATGAAACAGAAACTCAGAAGAAATTATTGTGGTTTATGCACTGACAAAGCTGCATTTATGTCAGACGCACCAAAAAAAAAACGTTGTTATGTAGACGAGCTTTTTGTACAAATGTAAACACAAGCACATCTGGACACAGAAGGCAAACAATGAGCAGCTTCAAAAACAAGTGCTGTAACAAAAGCATAATTTATTCTTTTATTTTTGAAGCCCAAGACTCCTTCATGGTTTGTCATTTGGGATGATTTGGTTCAAAAACAAACGGCCACATTCTGTACTTTTAACATCATTTGATGATTTAAATGCACAGACACAACCCGACTTTGTCCTCCAGGCAAAACACAACTAGATTTGTGCAACATGCACTGCTCTGTGCGGTGCACCGTGTTACATACACCGATTTAACTTGGTCCAGATATGGATGATGACAGTAACAAAAGAGCAAAGAGCAACAAAAAAAGAACTAGGAAAAAAAGGGAGATTTCCAAAGCACAACTATAGCAGAGTCCAAGTCCAAGTCTCTGTCTTTTTATTAGTTTAATGCTTAAATTATGATTCTTTCTACCAAGCAGGCCTGATTCATCTTCAGCCAACTTCCCATTTTTCTCTCCCGCCAGCCCCCCCCCCCATTGTTTCTTTTTTTCTGCCACATCTGTCAGATGTTGTGTGAAGTCTTCTGGATGGCAAGTCCATACTTGGACTTTAGGCACAGTAGGGAAACTCATGAATACCATTAGAAGGGTTTCATTAGTAGCATGCAGAATACTGAATTAATGCTCTCTCTCTCTCCTACCCTTAATGGTTACTTTTTGTTTCTACTTTCCTTTTCTTCCACATCAATGTTCTCTTTGACATATTTATTTTCTTACTATTTTTACTGTTTCTCTCATTATTTGTGAAAATAATAAGTTTTAAATTTAGAAAATATACAGTACTTCTCTAGTAGACGAAAGTGAAGACCATCTTGCATAGCTAGGCACCTGATAAAGAGATTCATGTGAGCCATATGAGCT